CTCCACCTCAGGGGTAGAAAAGCCCTCACCTGCCATTCCCTTCCCAGCCAGCACCAGATGCTGAACCAGGAGGACATTTATGGAGACAGTGAATGACTTGGCAGCTCCTCTGGAGGGGTGGCTGCAGGCTCGCTTGTGGTTAAAGATTATGCCGCACCCCAGATGTGAGTCTCCAGGCAGACAAGACCCTGGCTGATGGCTCCTGCTTCAGAGGAGGCCCTGTCTCCATTCCCCACACTGCCGACCATGTGGCAGGCCTGTGGCCTTCGGGTGGTAGTGACCCTGGGGCCTCTTCACCTGGTCCCTGTTCTCCCAGGTTGCTCTCTCAGCATGCTCTGATCTCCCCATGTGCCTTTCCCATAGGCCTCTCACGGTCAGCTCAGTGCAGGTCCAACACTGCTTCCTCTAATACGCCTTCCCTGACCCACCAGGTGGGGCTTTAGGCTCAGTTGGTCTTTGTTCTGAAGCAGGTATCTATCCTGTGGAAGAGGACTCAGAGGGGGCCCCAAGGAGTGGATCTGGTACACACATATCCATACAGGGGAGATTTTTTTCCAAGTTAGTTATTCAGCTGTGTGTAATTCTAGCACTTAGTGGGCAGGAGGATTGCCGTGAGTTCGAGGCCAGCCTGGTCTACATAGCATGACCCTGTCTCAAATACAAAACAAAACAAACTAGTTATTCAGAAATGGAGGCTAGGTAGCCAGAGAGGTGGTGAGCTTCCCATTCTCAGGGCCATTCTAGCCAAGGCTAAGAGAACTGACAGCAATCAATTGACTTCCTAGTTCCTTAGCTCCTCTGTTCCTCCAGGTCAGGTCTAATCCCAAATGGTCAGACTCCTGCAGCTAAATCGTATCCAAATGTCTTCATGCCTCTAAACCGGGGCCTCTTGATGGCTACTGGTTTGGGAGCCTGAGTTCTGGCTCCTTTCCCATTTTTCCACTGTCCAGGGCCGGGCACACAGTAGGTCGGTGAGGGAAGAGAGAAGCAACTGACACTGGGCTCCTTGCTCTCTTGCAGGGCCAGGTTATTTCTGTTCTAGCCCAAAGGGCTTGCAGAGCCACCGCTGGGCACCAGAATAGGCTGGAGCTAAAGTTTGACAAATGCCGTTCTGGAAGAGGGGACAAGTGACCGAGCCAGCTGTGACCTTGTGCTGCTCCAGCTCTGTCATAAACAACTTGGGGGTGGTGTGGGGGAGCAGTGTCCCTGATTAGGTAACTTGTTGCTTCCAAATGTGGGGCTGCCCCATTGCTCAGGGTTCACAGATGCTGTGCCATATGGCACAGCCTTGGGTCGAGGTTGGTCCTACTCATCATTCCAGGGGCCAAACAGGACCCTTAGCCCATTTTGCTCTGGGCTGGCTTGGTGCAGACTTTGGCCGTGGTCCCCTCTGCGAAGGGCTCTCCTCCATCCAGGCTGTGTCTATTTCAGGGTGCGCAGCTGGGCCCCCTGACAGGCCGGTTATTTTGGAGTTAGCCAGGCCTTGCAGCTGCTCCAGTAGGCTGCAGGGGAAGAAGGAGAAGGTGCCTGGGCTGGCCCTGACCCCGGGGACTCAGGCCGTGTCCAACTGTCTCCCAGCAGCACTCCCAGCTCCACAAGCATTTCGAGAAGGCCACTGTGTGAGTCCCCACCCTCCACGGCCTCTCCTCTCCTCACCTCTTTCTCCTCTAAACTCCGCTTCTGGGCTGTAGCTTTCTGGTCTTCAGTCAGTGTTTTTTTGGAGTGGTTTCCTGGGTGCTCATCATGATGGCTGTGAAGTCCTACATGAGGGTTCTAAGAGGGGTCAGGTGGATTTGACCTTGGGTAACCAAGGAACCCCAGGGACCAATTTTATGGTTGCCAGGGGCTCCACCCTAGCCTTGACCTCAGCCACAGCATCTCTAGGCAGGTGTCCCTGCTCCGTTTCTACCTGAGCCACCAGAGACTGCAGGGACCTGTGTGCCTGAGGTAGCCAGCCACGTGCTGAGCTAGCTACACATTTAAATCAGGCTGGCGCTCCTTGGAGGTGTGTGGAATGCATGCTGTTTTAACAACTAAGAGCTTTTCTGTTTCTGCTTTTTTAAAGGCATAGTCTTGCTAGATAGTCTAGGCTGACCTTGAACTCAATCCTCCTATCTCAGTCTTCGTGTGCTGGGATTACAGGCTTTCACCATCATGTGTGGGTGATCTCAGCCACTATATGATCATTATTACCTAAGGGTCATGATGGACAGGTATTCACTCTCCTGGGTGCCCAGTGGACCTGTCTGCATTTCACTTCTCAGTGTCCCTTCTAAGGAAGATCAGGACACAGACCATGCAAACCCAGAGGTACAGACCTCACTGCTGAAGAAGAGAGACTCACACGGTTAAGCTGCTTGTCCGAGACCACAGAGCCCTATTGCAATGAAATGGGCAGAGTCAGCATTTGAACCCAGGCCAATGAGCTCCATTTCTCTGCTCCTATCCTGTCTACCTGAAGACTGTATGTGGACTTGGGTTCCTAAGGAGACCCAAGTACTCTCGGGCTGCACTGTTAGAAACACAGTGCACATATCATTGGTCTTGATGGCCACACTGTCCCTTGAGGTGGCCATGGCACATCTGGAGCACTGTTGGGTTCTGCTTCATGTCTAAGAGGGGGAAATGTAGGGGGTACCTGAGTATTCCCTGAGGACGGGTGTCTTCAGGATGGTGTGCATAGCCCGTGGGGTAGTGGATTAATGTGCATAGCCCATGGGGTAGTGGATTAATGTGGGGAGGTGTATTCCAGTGGCAGGGAAGGAAACTCTTTAAAGACACGAGCTCCATGGAGGGGCAGGCTGTATGGGGGTAATGGACACCTGAGAGCAGGCATCTCAGGAAGACCTGGAGAACTCACACCCGGCCCGTTTAGAAAGCCCATGAGAGCCTTATCCCACAGGCCCCGGCTGGACCATTCACAGCCACTTGATTTTCCCTTCCTCCTCTTCTTCCAAGCCTCTGGAGTCCTAAGGGCCAGTGCCTGGAACCCCTGAGGGTGCGGGGCCGGGCATTGTTCCTCAGGGTCCAGGTCAGCCACAGGCCCTCTGCGGGTCTATCCCACTGTCCCCTGGCTTTTCCAGGCACCCTTGCTTTCTGTCCCCGGATGGCCCCTGCCTCTGCACCATTGCTGTCACAGAGTCAATTCTCTGGAAGAATCGCATTTTCCGGTCGGCTCCCTCCTTCTCACCCACATGATGCTAGGAAATCCAGGCCCCAGGAGGCTACTCCAGAGTGGGGGTGGGGACACCAGCACCCAGACCACAGGGCCCCAGACAACATAGCTCCTGCAGGGGGCCAGGGCAAGGTGGGTAAAAACAGGTGACTCGAAAGAGGTGTTCACACGCAGCCGGAGCTGCGTTCTGCCTCTGCCATCCCTACCAGACTAGTGCCCCAAGCCTTTCTGTCCTATGGAGCTGCCTGCCACCCTTGCCCAGTTCCTGAAGACAGAGCACACAGAGGTACCAGGGGAAGGCTCTGAGGAAGGCACTGGTCTACTATGGGACCTACAGTGGCACTTGGCAGACCTGGGAGCACTGTACAGAAGGGGTTCAACCAGCAGGGAGGGCCTGGAAGTAAGGAATGAAGCATGAGGCATTGGGTAGACCTTGGATCTCCTACTTGGTGGCCGTCACATAATGTCCTGGAGCCTCATCTGTCATACTGGCTCCAAGGACGACCTAAGGGTTCATTTTCCTCACAAGGTGCAGAGCTCCATAAAGCAGCTCATGGCAGTCTGAGGAATATGGTGCTGGAAATGGCTCCTGGAGGGAGAGGAGGTGTCCAGGAGCTAGAATGCATGGGCTGGTGGTGAGAAAGCTGAGCAGCAGGAGCCCTGGCCCCGAGTCCAGGTCCACCAGAGACTTTGCTCACCTCTGGGGGGAGCAGTGTCTCTGATTAGGGCCGAAGTTATCCACTGAGTTAGTGAGCATGTGCAGTTTTGGGGAGCAGGGAGATAGATCAACATATTTCCAAAGCATTTTAGTATGCATAAAAGATTAAAAACTATTGGTATTTATATAGCATAACTCCATTTTTGCATTAAAAGTAACCAAAATATATTTTTAAAAGGCTAAGAGGTCATAATCCAGAAAGTGAAAGTGTTTTCTGCTGGGTGGGCACAGACAGGCGGCTTTCTTTTTGCTGAGTTGTATTTTCTATAAAATTGAGTTTGCATTATTTGTGGGATTGGAGTGAAAGGACCTGACTTCCAGTGAGGTGACTCTCCAAGCTCCCCCCTGAATGAATGTGCTAGACATCTCTCTTCCTCGAAGTCCTCAGGTGGCAGTGGAAACCCCCAGAAACCAGGATCAATGACATCATGGACAAAGAGTAGGTGGGGAGGGGCTCCCCGTGGCCTCAGGGAGCAGAAGCTCCTGGTGCAGCCTGTTTACTGTTTGCCTGTGGAGTGCCTCCAGCTATTCTAGGCATTGGGGTAAAGAAGGAGGGCCCCAGGGGTGATGTTTAAGAAACCGTTTTAGGGGGCCAAGGGAGATTATTGGGGATCAAACCTAAACTTAAAAAAAGTCGCGATAAATTCTTGGCTGGGGGTGGTGGTGCTCACCAGTAATTTCTGCACTCTAGGGCCGGGGTTTGAGGCAGGAGGATCACAAGTGTGAGCCCAGCCTGGCCATTTACAGTGACTCTATCCAGAAAATAAGAGTGCTGGAGAGTAGCACAGTGCAAGGGCCTGAGTTCCATCCCCAGTACCAAACAAAATGACAAAGAAACCATAAGTCTTGCGCACACTTACTGTGGATAGCAAGAACACAGTATTACACAGCGCCAGCAGCTGCAGACATTCAGAGGCTCTTACGTGGTCTCGACCTAGGTGTCTTCCAGCCTCATACCCTTGTCTGAACAGCCAGCTGCCTGCACAGCCGTGTTTCCGGCTTGTCCACGTATGTCCCAAGCATTTCCGCACCCGTGAGCATCCACCAAGCATGTCCTAGGCACACGCTCAAAAGAACAGTGAGGGTTGCCCTTTTCCCTCTCCGCAGACAGCGAGCTGGTGCTGCCCGACTGCCTGCGACCGCGCTCCTTCACTGCCCTGCGCCGGCCGTCACTGCGGCGAGAGGCCGACGACACGCGCCTGTCCGTGAGCCTGTGTGACCTCAACGTGCCGGGCGCCGATGGGGACGAGGTGGGGCTGGCCACTGGCTGCCCGATCCCTCAGAACTCGCTCAACTTGCAGCACAGCCGTGCGCTGCCCGCGCAGCTGGACGGCGACCTGCGCTTCCACACGCTGCGCTCCAGCACTCACGTTCGTGTCCTGGATGAGCACACCGTGGCGCGCCTGGAGCACGGGCGCGATGAGCGTGCACTCGTCTTCACCAGTAGGCCCGTGCGCGTGGCCGAGACCATCTTCATCAAGGTCACGCGCTCCGGGGGTTCGCGGCTGGGCGCGCTGTCCTGCGGCGTCACCTCGTGTGACCCGGGCACACTGCGGCCCGCAGACCTGCCCAGCAGCCCAGAGGCGCTGGCCGACCGCGAGGAGTTCTGGGCCATGTGCCGGGTGCCCGGGCCCCTGCACAGCGGCGACATCCTGGGCCTGGTGGTCACCGCTGATGGTGAGCTGCATCTAAGCCACAACGGCGCGCCCTCAGGCCTGCAGCTGTGTGTGGACGCCTCGCAGCCGCTTTGGATGCTCTTCGGCCTGCATGGCGCCATCTCGCAGGTCCGCATCCTAGGTGAGTGGCCGTCCCCCGCCCCACGCGGTCCACTATGGAGCCAGATGTCCAAGGTGAGCGCAGGGCCGGATTGGGTGACCCGTGCCATCAGAGGACACAAACCTTACCTGGGGCGGGAACAGGTGCTTGGAATCCGGCAGATTCACAGCCCAGATACTGCAGCTGCTCAGGGACCACTTACAAATGCTGAAAAAGCCAGGTGTGGGGCACAGGCCTGTAATCCGAACCCCTGAGGAGGTAGAGACAGGAGGATTGCAAGTTAAGAGTTCAACCTGGGCAATTTAGTGATTTAGCCAGACCCTGCCTTAAAAAAGAAAATAAACACAAAGCAACTGAAAACGTAAAAACAAAAACAAAAACAAAAAACCAAGTCTGAGGCTGAAGCTCCCTGTAAAGCACCTGGGTTTACTTCCCAGTTCTGCCAGAAAGGTGGGGGCGATTTCCACCAGCAAGGAGCTCAATTTGCATTTCTCTGCCTTGAGAGGAAGGCAGTGCGGCCTGGCCTGCAGTGTAGTCCTGAGGCTGAATGAGAGACAAGCAGCGAGTTGGGAGTCAGGGCGATGTCTCTGTGTGATTCCTCGTGGTGGCTGGAGAGAAAGTGGGGTACAGAGTTCTGAGCCTTTCTTTTCTGGGGCTCAGTGTTTGAGTGGCCTGAGGCACGTGGGTTTGTGTCAGCCAGGTTTTCACACTGCCCTGTGGTGTGTTTACAAGGCAGCCTTTGCGGAAGGGACCTTGTGGTTTGGACAGTTGGGGAGGGGGAAGAGTTTATTGCAGGACTTCCGAGAGTCTTTAGTATGTGGTGTGAGTGTTTTAAGGTTGTTGATGGTTACAGGTTGGTTTTTTCATAATACTTTGAGGGGGTGTCTTTTTTGAGACAGTGTCTCACTATGAAGTTCAGGCTGGCCTTAAACTCACTTTGTAGTCCAGGCTGGCCTCGAACTCACAGTGATCCTCTTGCTTCAGCTTCACGAGTGCAGGGATTACAGGTGTGCGCCACCACACCCAGCATGTTTTCCAAAGTAATTTGCTCAGGAATCTTATTCGCTGAGCAAATCCTGGGTCCTCTGTTACTCCTGAGGGAGTAAAGGTCCTTGCCTTGCCAGTGCTGGTCTTCCTACCAGCCTCTTGGACTGAGCTGATTTTCTGAGCCTTACATGGAGAACTTGATGAAGTTCAGGTCATTGGGTCCCACCTCCAGAGACCCCAGTCCTATGGACCCTGAATATGTTCTGGGCATCTAAATTTTTCTTTTTCTTTGCCTGGTGCTGGAGCATGCTAGGCAATTGTTCTATTACTGAGCTGTAGCCCCAAATTTCTGTTTCTATTTTTTATGGCAATGTTTTATGGGTAGCCAGGTTTGGAGACCAGGAGTGTGATTGCTGGGATGCTGCATGGCAGTGTGTGGGCTGCACTGCTCTGTGAGGCTGGCACACGGTGGAGACACATTTGGATAAGTGCTGTGTGTGTGCACATGATGTTGTGATTGTGTCTGTGGGGAGCACTTGTGTAATCAGATAAAATCATCGAGGGACTTCCAGTGCTGGAGGGAGACCAGGTGAAGATGGAGTGGAAGATAAAAAGGGGTTAGAAGAAGTGAGCAAGGGGCCGAAAAGTCAGAGCTGAGGAAAGCTAAATCAGGAAGGACGAACAGAAGTCGAGGACAAAGGAAAAAGCAACAGCCTGGGGTGAGAATCAGGATGAAGTAGAAGGAAAATGAATGGGAGGGGGCCACAGAATGGGGCGGTGTTTCCAGGGAAAGGAAATTACATAAGGGCAAGGGACTCTCGCATCAGCGCCATCTAATAATAGATAAGAAACTTTCCAGCAAGGCTTCTATTTCCCAAAGAGGTTTACAAGACTGAAGCAAAGGGAGATTTTTAAAAAGTCAGAACTGTTCTGTCCCTGGAGGTATGCAGAGGCCTAACAGCCCAGGCCTCACGGTGGTTCAGTCCTGTGTTCTGTGCGGGCGTGCTGCTGGTTGGTACCTGCAGGCCTGGGGTAGGAGTCTGGCAGGGGCGGTGTGGAGAGAATATCAGAGGGCAGAGGTGATGCCCTGTGTGGGTTGATGAGGACAGAAAGCAGGGCTGCCCTACTCTGAGGGCTGGCGTTGGTGAGAAGCAATCTTTCTCCCCTCCTGTGCAGGCTCTACCATTCTGGCTGAGCGGGGCATCCCGTCACTGCCCTGCTCCCCTGTGTCCACGCCAACCTCACCCAGTGCCCTGGGCAGCCGCCTCTCTGACCTGCTGCTCAGCCCTTGCAACTCTGGGCCTCTGGGCAGCTCTGCTGGTGGTAAGTGCTAGTGTGCCTGCCCCGCCCTGCCCCATGGTGGATGTGGCTTGTCCCTCCTGTTCCCTCCCTGGGCAGCTTTCTCCCCAAGAACTTTGTTTTCCTGTTGAGAACACAAGGGAGGACAGTGGGTAGCTCAAGCTCAGCCTCAAGGAAGTTGGGCCCTGTTCTCTTCACTCTCTCCACCTCCCTTCTTTCCTCCCTGCCTTGTAGCTGCCTGGTCCTGGTCTGGGCCGAGCCGCAAAAGTGGGGCCGCTGAGCTCTACCTCTTCCCACTATGTGGAGGGGGCGGGGCAGGGCCCTTCCCGAGAGTCTTGCACTGCCTGGGCCTTCTCTCCTGACCGGTGGTTCTTTGTCTGCAGGAACAGCCCCCAACTCACCAGTGAGTTTGCCAGAGTCTCCAGTGACCCCGAGTGTGGGCCAGTGGAGCGATGAGTGCACCATCTGCTACGAACATGCGGTGGACACGGTCATCTACACGTGCGGTCACATGTGCCTCTGCTACGCCTGCGGCCTGCGCCTCAAGAAGGCCCTCCATGCCTGCTGCCCCATCTGCCGCCGCCCTATCAAGGACATCATCAAGACCTACCGCAGCTCCTAGCCTGCCTTGGCGCCCCATTCCGCACCCACCTCTGCAGACTGCAGCCCAACTCTCACTGAGGGGCAGGCCAGTGGGGCCTCCTTTCGTCTTGGAAACTCTCTCCTTTTCCACCAAACATGGGAAACCGAGGTCCCTGAAGGTCTGAGCAGAGGAGGGTTTGGAGCAGAGCAGTGGGGGCAGGGGCACATCCCCACTGAGGGGAAGCAGTAAGCTGCACTCTCCCCAGCTTGTCCTTGTGTGCCAATTTAGGCTTAAGCTGGGCTCTCAACCTGTCCTAACCCTTCCCCATCAGGGAAAATTCCCAGGAGGTCCACATAGTCTGTGTGCCGAGAACTAGAAAATGCATACCTTCCTTTGGGCTGATGAGACCCAGAGCCAGGGCCTGCGACTGGGCCCAGCGAGGTTGGGATTAGGTTTTAGCATCCATCAAGCTCCCTCAGCCAACTGGGCAGTACACAGTCCGCTCAGAAGCAGCCCTGGGTCGGCTGCTGTCTCACCCTCTGACCTCTGCCCACCCTGCCTCTGACCTTTCTTCCATGCCCATTGGGCCTGGCCACTGTGGATAAGATGGTGGCAGACTTCTCTCATCCTGGGCAGCAGGGCCTCCTGGGATGAGTGGCTGGGCAGTCTGTGGAGGCCCCAGGCCTTGGGGAGACCCCTCCTGGCTTCAGGCATCTGCCCCAACCATCTCACTGGGTGCTGCTTCCCAGGCTGTCTTAGGATGTAGCTGGGGCCTCTCTGCACTGGTGGGGCCTCCTAGAGTGGGTCTCGGGATGCCCTCAGGCCTCTCTCTCTTTTCAGAGGCAGACAAGTGACCAGGAGAGGCCAGGACGGGGCAGGGATTCTCTGGGCTACAACCAGTCCTTCTCCATGTTTTTATTTATTTATTTATTTGGCTTGTGGGCTTTGTTGTTTGTGGGTGAGTTCCCATCCCCTGGACCCCAGAAAGGCTTGTGAAGGTGGCAGCAGAGGTGGTTATCACCCCTCATGCAGTCCATCGCGTTCAGGCCAGACATACTACCCACGGACTGGTGCTCCAGCCTAAGAGGCTGAGGAGGGAGGCCTCCCATCGAATTGTGTCCATTTTTCAGAGAAGCAGCCTGAGTCTCCTGGGCACCTGGGGCTGGTGGGTCACCCAGAGCCATGAAGCACACCTTGGGGTCGCCTGTTGTGTAAGGGCAAGAAGGGCTCGTGGGGAGGCCTGTGTATCCTGGAAGAAGAGGGCCACGTCTGGCTCCCAGCATGCTCTTCTGTTTGTCACCTCAGCTCTGCAGGTCCTGACTTCCCAGCCCGCTACAGTGGCAGGCGGGTACGGACTTCTGGTCCCAGCTGCCCACGTGGACAGATCGCTGTCCTCAACCTTGGTCCCCCTGTGCAGCATGGCTGTTTGGGGACAGACAGACTATTGAGGTAGCTCTGGGAATTCTTGGATGGGGACTCCAGGCCAGGCCTCTGAATGTGCCAGCCTCGTGGGGGGTTGGGGAAGATACCATGCCACTCCGAGCATAGCCCTGTCCAGCCAGGAGGTGCCCTAGAGAGGAAAGAAAACCGGCAGGGCAGGGGTCAAGCGAAATAGCTGTCCCCTGTTCTGTTAGTGCTGGGGTTGTTGATGCCTCATTGTGAACTCCGGTCGCTGTGATGTGAATAAAGGTGATCTCATACCAGCCTAAAGGCTGTGCAGTGCGTGAGGAGGCTGGGTGGAAGATCATCTGTGGGTGGGTGGCCAGCAGATGGCAAGGGAACCACCAGGCGAAACTGGAGTTAGGGGCTGGAGCATGACCTGGCTTTGGGATGCAGGGCAGGCCTGAAAATTGGGAGAGAGGAGCTGCTGCTTTTCAGGTGGCCTCAGGTTCCAAGGTCTGTTGGGGGACAGGGCCCAGCCTGGCTATGGAGCCCATGGAGCAGACAGAACCACCTAGGGGGAACCAGAACCAAGGTGCTGGAACTTGTGAGGGCCAAGGTCACCACCTGGGTGGTGCCACAGAGGAGAAAGGAAAGCTCTAGACAGAGACTGTTAAAGGAACTTTCTAGATGTGCTGAATGTACCTGGGACATGGGAAAAGCTGAGGGTAGTGGAGACAGCCAAACTGGCCAGCGACTAAGCTGGTACTATGCTCATGCAGAGCCAGGCCTCAGGGCACTTAGGGCTGCCTGCCTCGTCCTGGGAGGATGCTCTGGCTACCCAGCTGCAAACCGGCCTTGAAACTTCCTACAGCACCACCCTGCTCTGCTTACTTGGAGTCCAGCGCCAGGAGGTGAGCGTTGGGCCCAAGCAGAGAACTCAGGCCTGGCTAGTTCCAGAAGCTTCCTGAAGATGGGAAGGGGGCTGGGGAGCTTTAGCCTGGTTCTCACCAACAATAGTGGCAGTGTAACTCCCCTTCCTGCATCTTTGGGAGGGGCCTGGGATTCTAGAACTCATCCTGGGATAGAGCTCCCAGGTGAGTGGATTTTCCAGTGTCCAGAAGAATTAGGTGATTCTGTTCAGTTAAAAAGGCCAAAAACTTTATTTAGTTTTCAGAGAAATACAAGATGCATGTAAACATAAACCAAATACAAAACAAAACAACCCAAGTCTTACAGTCTAGAAGCATGCCAAGACAGAGCATTTTGCAGACCAAAGAGTCCCATCAAAGTGATAAAGGACACGTGGAAAGTAGCAGGCCAAGTGGGGTCTCTTCCCCACGGCACTGCATGTTTGTGGTGATTGAAACAGCCCACCATTAAAAATATCAGAAACATGGAGATAGTTTAGCACCACCATTGAACCTGGGAATATCTTAGTACTCATGCTGACTGCACTGCATCTGTCCAGTTTCTCTGCTGAGGGAAAGGAAAAAACCTGGACCCATGGAGCCCATCAGGAGCAGGGCAGGGCTGTGTGGAGGCCACGAGGGATCTCCTACAATTCTGGGGTCCTGGTGACATCCACCAGTGCACCTGCAACCATGCAGCCCACAGTGATGGGCACTCACACCTGTCCTGCTCACAAGTCACTTTCTGCAGACTTCTCAGGGACCAGAAGGGTCACCCACTGCCCATGCTGTATCCTGGGTTTTAAGGAAGCCGGCTGCAGAGAACAGGGTGAAAATCCAACAGTGGTGGCCAGGTACCCTGCTCTAACTCTTTCGGAGCAGTGTGCTTTGGTTAGAAGCCACTAAAAAAATGGAAGAGCAACTTGATGGGCGTTCCCTTCAGCTGTCCGATTTGTAATGTGCCGGGCAGACAGAACCACTGCAGGTACAAAAGAGCCTCAGGCCAGCAGTAGAAGGTGAGCGAGGTTATGTTCCTCCCAGACCGACCTACCAGACCTTGCACTTCAGTTTTGGGACAGTGGGTGCCTACTGTGAGGCCCATCACAATCAATCATGCCTGATTCACACAGCCTGAGAGGCCAGCTATGGATGAGACAAAGGCAGTGGGCAAAGTCAGCGGGAACCTGGAAGATGGAAGTGAGTCTGCTGGAAAAAGGGCCTCTAAACCCAAAGACTTGTTTGTTGCTTACAAGACCCCTTCTCCACTAAGTAAATCAATGCCCGTTTGCAAAGATCAGCTCATGGCCAGGGAGTAGCAATCTGGTCTGCTGGCTTCTTCAGAGGCCAAATTTGGAGGATTTTCCAAATTTCTGCTCTGGAGGGACCCTTGAATGTCAAATCATGAAATTTCCTGCCTACCTGCTCTCTACTTTCTGAAACATTCAGCATCAACTTCTGCCTTCTAATCAATAATGACAAAACAAACCTCCAAACTCTTTCTATCTTCCCACACCGCCCCAGACACGCACACACTCAGGCTTGCCAACGTACCTCTCCCTGTCTCCAACGTGCTCAGTCAAGCCTTTTGCTCTAAAACAATGCAGGTCCTAAGGTCCAGGCCACTGTCCAGGATGGAACTGGGAGCAAGGCAGGGACCTTCAGCACTGGGATCCCACTGTGTAAGGCCACTAGGTTCTAGGACTAGAATGACTGAGGATGCTCACTGTCAAGGTCAAGTGCAAACAGGAGATTGAGAAAGACAGCACAGAGAAAGAGGGAGCACACGGGATCCAGGTCTAGGCATCTATAGGTGAGGACAGAGCGGGAGGAAAATTAAAATCGCCGTGGCCAATGCCTGTTGGGTCACTGATCCTGCCTCTGATGGAAGAGCTTGGAACCACACACGAGGCTGCCCGACAGGGGTGAGACAGCCTCAGTAAGACCCAGGGGAGCCCCTCTACACTGCTTCATGAAGTGTCCAGGCAGGCCCTGGAGCCACTGCTGTGTGCACTGCAGGTCTTGCTGAGCATCCCACAGGCTGGTTCTCAGAAACAGGAACCCAGGCCAGCTGCTCTTATATCTTACGGGGCCTCTCTACTGATGACTCTCAGGATGAGGAGTGGGAGTCTGCCTGTGCGGTGAGGAACCTGCAGGTGGGTGACCTAATAACCAACTCAGCATTTCCATGTAGAGTAGCAATCTCTCTGCTGTATCTTTATTTGGAACCCAGGACAACAGCTTAGGCTGCTTCTGCTAGATCTGTTAATGCCAGTGTGAAGTTTCCAACTAAATAATAAAATAATTAATAATAATAATAAGACACATTGCACTCTCCAGCCAGAATTGTGCGTATGGATGACACACGCACACATACTTGCTGCCAGGAGCTGCGAGTCCCTTGGGTCCTGCCCAATGCCAAGGACTTGTTCCATGGAGACAGCTTGTCCAACGTTTTTTTTCTGTAACTCCATGTTATTTAGCTCAAGTGGGAAATTACCAACACTCACACATGCGCGTGCACACATACACACACACACACACAGGCACAATACACAGCCCTCAAAAAAGTGAGGGAATCTTAATTCTTTAGTGATGTGGACAGTTCTCTTTCCAGAGAGCTTTGCATGGTGATTCTGAGACTAGATTTGTAGATTTCCTCCTCCAAGGAGAGTAAGATACTTACATGGGCCCAGTCTTACTCCGAGTACAAACATTCCTATCTGTGCAGAAACTCAACCCAGGGTTGGAGCAGCAAGCACACAGTACTGAGGTGGAGGTAACGAGGTGGCAAGGATACACCTGCCAAACTCAGGGTGGACTCAGGGTGCCTGGACCAGAGATTTCCTGCCCTGTGTCTTCCTGCACCTGCACAGAGGAAAGGCCAGCTTGGTACCTGTTGTGGGGGTCCCATCTGCAGACTCAAGCAGACCCCTTGGAGTCTCCTCGGAGAACTCTTGAACACTGTTGGGGGGTAGGGCTTTGGGGGGTGTGGCAGGGGCAGGGTTCACTCCTCAGATACCAAGATGAGTGGCCCAGGTCCACTACAGGTCTAAGGGAGTTGGATCTGTCTGGGGTTGTGGGGCTTAAGGTACCCACACCCTCCAAATGGATTTGCTTATATCCAGGGTTCCTGCCCATAAACTGAATTGAGGTTCCACAGTTTTAGAAAGATTCAAACGTACATCAAAAGAGTGAGAGTCCAAACATCGGGAGCCTGGGGTGAGAGGGCTGTTGGGGGCTTTCAGGACAGGTCTCTCAGAGCAGCTGGCTACAAAGACGACAGAAACGAACACAAGGACAGGTTCCTGAATGTCCTCACTCTGCAGATGGGCCTGGGATTCAAGAGTCCCAGACCACTTCCCTGAACCCCTTTCTTCTGGGTAGACACAAGCAAAAGTGAAGGGGTTGTCCCCTGGTGGGGACCTCTACCATCTTGCCAGGGAAGGAGAGGGGCAGAGGAGGCCGAAACATCAAACCTCACAGGTCCCAGCATCTGTGCCACGATTCTGATTCCCTTTCCACCCTCTGCAGATGGGGCCACGGGGTTTCCCTCCTGCCTCTCACTGACCCTGGCATCCCTCCTGGAATATTGCACTTTTTCTGTCTCTCAGATTGTTTTCATTTTCGATTGAGAATGCAAAGTATTTGGAGGGGGCTAGGGAAATTAGTAACCTTAAAGAAATAATATATTAAATACAAAAAACAGGAGGAGTAGGGATTATTTCATCTTTTTTCTCCCTTGAAATCAACACAAACTATCAAACCAAGGTCTAAACTTAAATAGTCCTACATCTACTCAGTAAGTACTAGTAATATGAAAATAATGCTTGGCGGAAATTCCCTTGTCCCTTTTCCTTAGAGATGAAAGCAGTAACATGCCTTGCTGAGGAAAGCCATGGGTATAAATGCCAGGAAAATATGCTGCTCTAACATCTGAAAGTGATTACAATGATTCTATATAATGCCTTCGTCAGGATGGAGAACTGAGGAATAGAGAAATGTCTGGGGCCAGGCTGGGGTGGACAGGCTAAGACCTAGCCACAGCCACTGCGGGGGGAGGGACCCACAGCACAGACAGTACCTCTGCTGCTTGGGGTGCCCCTTCCTGCTCCTCCTCGCTGTGCCCAAGGCTGGTGGCCTAGTGGGAAGAGGAGCTAGGCCATGCACCCAGGCGTGCTGTGACAAAGAGGGGCACAGTGAGACAGAGATGAAAATCTTTTCTTCCCTTGTCAAAGAAAAAGGCCTTTAAAGTGAAAGAAGAACAAAGCACCAAATGATGCATCTTCGGGCATTATATAAACCTCAATAATGACCTCAGAAGGGCTCATTATGATTAAAGTTGCAGTATACAGCAAAACAACATCATTTCACATTTTCAATTGCAACCAATGGAAAATTAGGTTTGGACACTGCTGAGATTTCATTCTTTTTTCCTTTAAGTCTGATCTGGTTTTCCTCCAGATGGGTCAGAGCCCAGGCCTCCTCCGCTGCTGCCAGCAGCCCCCTCTGAAGTCACAAAGTAGCTCAGTAGCTCTAGGGAAAGGCCCTCTCGCCCTGGGTCAGACGAGGAGTGCAGGGCACGAAGCCTGGCACCCCTGGCTGAGTCTGAGAAGGACTGGCATGCACCTTCTTGCTTCAAGTATTAACAAATTTGGGTCTGCAGGTGTGTGCTGTGCTGTGCTGTGCTGTGGGGGAGTGTGTGAAGGCGAGGGTGTGGTGCAGAGACAGGCACGGCAATTTCCTGTTCACTGCCCAGAACTATCCATGTGTTGTCACCAGGTGGCAGCACTCTCCACTGTTCCTGGATGCCTGAGCAGCTCCCAGCCACCCTGGGGCTGGACGTCACAATGTAAACATGATGACCACGTGATAAACTGGGGCAGGGAGGGGGGAACCGAGACAGGATGAACGCAGCGGGAAGCATGCTGTGAACTAGTCGTGTGATTTAGGGAAAATCATTTCCTGGCCTCAGGCTGCAGAACAGATACGGGTGGCACAGAGTGACCTCCCTGGTCCCTTCCAGTCCTGCTGGGAATCTAGGAGAGGGGGTCCCTGGGGGCTGCAGAGAGCCTGCCGGGCAGTGTGGATGATGGGGCGGGAGGGCAGGCTCTGGGGAGTGCTGAGGCTGGCCCTACTGAGACGCTCTGTGGCCAGCAGCTGCCCTGTCCCTCCAGCTGGGGCTGGTGTGAGTGGTGGCACCGGCTCAGTGCAGGCATCTGTGGAGCGAGGCTGAGGGCCCTACCCCTGGGAGGCATCTGTGGAAGGTCCTTTAACCCGACAGTCTCGCTACTTTTAAATTTTATTTTAAATAATCATAAATTACTTTTCTTTTAATAAATATGTGCTGTTTAAAAACGAGAAAAGTATATACTGCATCTTTAAGTAATGCACTTTGCTCTCTGGGCTTCTTTTCATTCCATCTTAAAGTGCATTAATTAAAAAATAATGAACCACTTCCTTATCATTATTGTTCAAATAAGTACAAATAATATTAATATGAGGACACTAAACCACTACCATTAGTACTGCAATCTAGCAGATTAACTCAACATCCTGTTCTATTTAATACTGTCCAGCAGAAAAAAATAAAGTAACTAATTTCAATTTTAAGCTCATGAGCAAAACAAAACAAAACTACCTCACCATGGCCCTTTGACAAAGAATGCGAGCATCTGCCAGGGCTGGGAGACCCCAGGAGAGGCTTCTGGGATCTGGGGCAACCGAGATGCTGGGTCCTGGCTGACCTGCCCGGCGAGGGGTGGGCAGCCCCAGCCCAGCCGACTGAGTGATGGGGCAGCTCTGAGGCCTGATCTGTCCCAAACAAAGGCACGTGCGAAATCCACTCCTGGCAGCAGCCACGGCCAGTCCTTGGGGAGCTGCTGAGCTGGATGGTCCCCTCTGAAATGTCAACATTGAAAGACACAGTCCAGAGCTGACACAGGATCTGCAGCAGACTTCACCCTCTGCTTCTCTCTTCGCCAGAGTGCTGCCCTGCGGGAAGACAGCGCTGGCACCTAGCACCTGGCATAGGGGTCCTGTCTTCTCTGTAGTGCTGCCAACAGGCAAAAGAGGGTGGTTGGTGGTGTCCATTCAGTGTGACCCAGGGCCCAGGTGGGGTCCCCTCTACCCAGGGTGGGGGCCATGGCCGTTTCTCCACAGTTCCTATGTAAGGCTTTCAGCCCGCCTGGTGGGAGAACGTACACAGAATGAATGGCCTGCCAGCCGCTTCCTCTCCGACATCAGGCTCTCCTCCCTCTGGGGAGAGTCTTTACCCCCCACCCCCCAGCAGTTGGGCCAAAAGAAGATTTTATCGCTGAGTATGGGACTGGGACTTAACCAGCCCCCATCTCTCTGGCGAGTGCCATCCCCAGGCACTGTCCATACAGTGGAAACCAAAGGGAACAACTTTGGCATCTGGGAGGGGAACACGTGAAGCCAGAAGCAAACAAATCAAAACAAACCCCTCCTACAGAGTACAACAGAAAGTCTACCCTCCCGTGTGAGGCCGGCCCCCCTCGGGCTCCCAAACAACCCGAGTGAGACCCAAACCCAAGACCTGACATATATATATAATTCCCGAATCAATACCCCTCTCTGGAAACACGCCAAGGAATCACCCATGAGAGACACCCTTAAGTCTGCTGGGCACAAAGGGCCCAGTGGGAATGCCTCCTCCAAGGGCTGCCCGGAGAAGGGCAGGCTCCTCCTCAAGGCCAGAACAGGGACATCTAAGAAGGATGACCCTCGCTGGCACTTTGGAACCACTTTTTTCTCACCTACAAGACACTGACAGTGGCCTGGCCCAGGGGCACACAAGCTCACATGAGACACCTCCAAGCCTCAGGGCTGGTGGTGTCTTCACACGCATTCACCTCTGAGGGCAGTGGCTATCCCTGGGAACCTTGAACAATTCACAAATACAGGTTAGGACAATACCAGGGCTACCTTTGTGGCAAGATGCCTGCCCCAGAAGAGCCAAGCGGGGCAGGACCCCAGAGGTCCCTACAATCACATCTTTTCCAGGTTTGCGGCAAAGGCATGATCGGGGTTTCTGTGTTGCTGGTCCCCGATGGTGCACAGTCCGTCAGCAAAGTCACTGTGGTGCACGCTTGGGTCCAAGGCTCAGTTCTCCCCCGCCATTCCCTTTCCTGCTCATCCCCTTCCTCCTAGCTGGGGAGAGGTGAGGGAGGTCACACTTTCTGCTAGGTTCCATGCTGTATCTCCCCCCTCCTCCCAGGCTGTCCTTCCCCTTTTGTCTACTCGTGGTCACTGCTCATCCAGTGGCAGCTACAGCGCCACACTGGCCGGAGGGACCCTATGGCCCCCGCTAGTTTTTCTTTTCAAGGTAGTTGGAGGGCACCCAGCCTTTGAAGGGCTTCACCTCATCCAGGATCTGGCAGTACCACCAGCCATTGGGGTTCCTCTCCAGTACCTCCATGGACACCCCCTCTTGGAAGCCTGCTGTTTCCTCGTCCCCCTCGTAGTCCGCGATAGAGACATACAAGTCTTTGAGGTTATTATGGATGAACTGGGACTTCTCGATGGGCTTGGGGCGCACAGGGGATACGGGAACACAGTTCCGCTGGGTGGGCAGCAAGGGTGAATCCGACCCTTGGCTGGCAGCGCGCTCCCCCAGGCGGCCCTTGGTCTCAGAGGGGGCCGAGCGTGCGGTGCTAAAGGAAGAATTCCGCCGGACGCCTCGGAGGCCGTCCGTTGCCGTGAGGGACTCGTTTCTCCGCAGGGCACAGGACAGATTGTTATCTTTGGGTGGTGGGGACACAAACACGGACTGCGGCCTGACCGCCACCTGCCGCACGCCATTCCGCATCTTCACCACTGTGGCACCTGAGGGCTTGCCGAAGCCCCCGGGGGGCTTGCAAGGGACAGGCGGGGTTGCCCTCTTGCTCTGGTTGACAGTGTTGAGCGCCTGCACGTGCCTCTCGATCTTTTCCAGGCTGTCTGACTTGCCCTCACTCTCCTTGCTCCTCACGGCTTCTGGCTCCGTGTTAGAGGTCTCGGGTTGCTCCTGCCGCTCAGGGACCAGGTAGTGGGAGGGTGCCCAGCCCTCCAGCTCCCCAAACCGGATGTACCACCACCCGCTCTCCAGCTTCTCCAGCACTTGTACCTCGGCGCCCGCAGGGAAGCTGATCTCCGAGTCCTGAACCTTCTGGTAGGCACTACAGGTCACATAGGAGGTGGCTGGCCCTTCCCACTCCTTGGGGGGACACTGTGGAGTGGCAGTGGAGAGGGTGATGACATCAGCTGAGCCTCTCCTGGACCTCTCACTGAGCCCCTCTGAGACTGTCTGAGGGGGCAACTCGGAATCCTCACTCCTGGAGCCCTTTAGGCCACCCCGGAGCTGGCCCGTGGGTCTCAGCTGGCGCCGTAAAGTGCTTATATCCATCTTCTCCTGGTTCTGTGATTCTGCCCGGTTCAGTAATGGCTTGGGCCGAAGAGAGGGCTTAGCCCGCATGCAGGAGGTCAGTCCGGCCTTCACGTCAGCATCTTTCTTGGCCCCAACCTTGGGAGTGCCACGGATGGCTGCGTCTGAGGCAGAGCGGGGCTTCAGGTCATCGCTGTTCTTAGACAGGGAGGAGGAAGAGGAGGAAGATGAGGAGCAGGTGGTGTTGATGGTGATGGACGAGGAGAAGGAGGCTGAGGAATGGTTCTTCCCTAGTTCTGTCTGGGTGTTCTTCTCTGCCTTGAGCTTTAAGAGTGAGGATGACTTGGGGGAACCTGACTTTGGGGAGTTTTTCCTGGCAAGGGACAAGGAGGAGCCCCCTGGGGAGTCACTGTCCCCGGAGGATCCTCTGACTGATAGAGTGTCCTCTGCATATGGCTGGAAGCCCTCGTTCTCATAGATGGTCTCCTCTTCCAGTGCCACATCTTCTGACGACTCGCCTACCTTGAAGCGGGCCCGCTGTAGGGAGGAGGCGGGTGAGGGCCTGCGTGGCTGGGCAGGCCGCCTGTCCCCTGAGCCTCTGTCCTCTGTGGGCTCCTCGCTCAGCTCTGGTTCTGAGTCAAAGCCAAAGGCCGGTATGTCGTACTCAGGCTCTTCATATTTGAGCTTCAGCGGGGACTCCTGGCTCTCGCTGGCACCTGCAGTGGCCTCCTCAGCTTCCTTGGGTTTGCTGGGGGGTGCTGGTGGGGGAACCTTGGGCCGGGTCAGTGTGCTTGTACGACGGTTCAGGTTGGGCTTCTTGCGCTTATCGATGTAGGAGGCAGGAGCCCAGCCCTCCTTCTCACCGATCTGCACGTACCACCAGCCGCCTGAGTTCTTGTCGATGACCTGGGAGAAGAGGGCAGATGGGCAGTGAGCCAGCAGGTCTCTGGGCCCTTGTGAACACCACACACTGGCTGGAGGCTGCCTTCACTTTACTGATGAGAAATTGGGCAAGAACTCAGGATCAAGTATAGTGAACAGCAGATCAGGACTCAAGCCCAGGATGGAGGCTTTCACTCTCCAAGTCCCTTGCCCTGGTCCGCTAAGCCTGTCAATGCTGGTTAAGCAGACCTCCTCCTTCCCTCAACTGCCATGTGCAAGCCCTAGCATCACAGATGCAGATGCATGAGGAACTGCAGATCCTCCCTGAAATACCCTGGAAGGGCCTCTCAGGTGAGCATGGAAGATGCAGAGGAGTTTATTTTGTTGTTGTTTTGTTTTTGTCTTTTTAGGACAGGGTTTCACTCTGTGGTTCAAGCTGGCCTCAAACTTGAAGCAATCCTCCAGCTTCAGCCTCCCAAGTGTTGGGATTACAGGCGTGGACCACTATGCTGGGCAAGATGTAGGGACAGTCCTGGGACCCAGGCTTCCAGGCATAGCATCTCCCCAGCATCCACTGCCTGTGAACATCTCACTGCCTGGGGAAATGAAACCTCACCAATCGAACAGGTTACTTTGAGCTGAACGGTTTCCTACAGAAGGCCTGAGGGGCTCTTGGTCATTCCTAGGTAGTGTCAACTAGTTCAAGGAGCTTTTTCCTTACCATCTACCTGAGATGGCTAATGGCCAGGAGTGTCGATGCTGGCTGTGCAGGGGTTCATCTGGACTGGGAAACATCCAGGAAGGTAGGCTGGGACTGTGACACACTGCTGGGGGAGGAGGCCCCAGGGAGAACCCGCAGGGAGGACATGAAAACCTTGGTACCACGGGGTGACGCTTGAAGCAGGGTGGGAAATGTCACAGCCAGCTCTCTTCCTCAGCCCTGTTTTTCTTTTGGTCCTCCATCCATCCTTCATCCTGGGCTACCCTGTACCTAATACCCATGCTCAGGTGGGTCCGAAGTACAAAGCCTTCAAGGCTTTCTATAAGCCTAAGTTTCATGGAGAAAATGAAGTCACTTCTCTTGGAAATTTAGCTTCAAGTTCCAGACATGTGATAAAAAATGCTCATGTTGGGGACGTCCCCTCCTCAGGAGGCAGAGGCTGCCAGGGAACCTGACAGTGTCAATATGTATTACTTGGACTAAACTCTGTGACTACTCAAAGCCATTAAAAAAAAATGACTGAGTCACAGACTTCCTTTGTGTCCTATGCTCTGTACAGGCCACAAAATATAGCTATGTCCTCTTCTCCCAGGTTTGCTTTCTGTGACTTCTTAATGTACAGGTCAGACTTTGTCACAGGTGTGCAAGTAGAGAAAAGGAGCTCTGTAGGGCTGGGTTCTGTCTGTGATTTCAGGTACCCCCTGGGGTCTCAGAATGGTATCTTCCATGGATAAGGAGGGAACCAAGGATCTCTTACCCCTTTGCAGAGAGAGATGCTCAAAGCCCATGAGGAAGAAATGATGATATCAGGGGCCAATGGTCCTGGGGAGGACACAGCCAGTGCTGGGTGTTCTCCCAACAATAGCACTTCTGGGTGTGTATTCTGCAGGGCCCTGGCCCTCAGCAGCTCCTGAGAGAAGAGGCTCTGGGGCCACACATGCCTGGTCAAAGCTGCTACATCAGTGCTCTGGGGGAGACGTGGTGCCACCCCTATTCTAGGCTCTGAGGGGCTCTGCAATCAAAGCGATGAAACCCATGGTAGCCTGGTATAGTGGCCCAGGTCTGCACTCCCAGCGGCTGGGGCAGGAGGATCTCAGGTTAGGGCCCAGCCTGGGCAGTTCAGAGTCTTTGCAAGACCCTGTCTCAAGGAAAAAAAAAATGCTGGGGATCTATCCTGTAAGTCCCTGAGCTCAATCCCCAGAAATGTACAATCATCACTGATTGTGGCCCGAGCTCCCTGGACACCTCTTGCTGCCTGTGGCACTTGCTAGCATTCATCGAATACTTGTAGCTGTGAGGCTGGCTCTGGTGCCACTCCCACCTGCTCCCCACCACAAACCTTGCTATCAAGACCTCACCTGGGTACCAAGCCCTGCGCCACAGTGAGGTAACAGCCCTCAGCCAGAGGAGGCTTACCTCTGCCTTCTGTCCGCCCCGGAAACTGATCCCGTCGGAGATGCAAGACTGGAACTCAGCGATGGTGTAGTACTCCACCTCAACGGAAGGGGGCTCTGGTGGCTTGGGCAACTGGAAGCCCTACAGTGGAGAACAAGGTGAGCAGAAAAAGGCCAGCTGATCTGGCCAGTCACAAGGCCTCAAGGGCTGCTGCTCTCTTGGCCCCAGGGTGAGTGTGTGACCATTGACACCAGTGAGACAGAAGCTGGCCCACAGGCCTCTGCCCCTGGAGTCTCAGAGTCCACCCCAAGAGGCTGCCCTTTTAGGGAGGACTGGCCTAAGTTGTGGACATGCTGTTAATCTGTGCATTTCTACCCCTTCTCTCACAAGGACCAGTTCTTCGGTACCTCAATACCTGGCTCCCACAATGAAAACTAAAAAGCAGAGAAGTTCTATCAAAACCCAGGAATTTGTCCTGTGAGACAACAGAGCTGCCACCTGCAGGTGGGGCACCTGGCATTAGGTGGTCAGGAGCTGGGGGTGAGGTAGGTGCATAGAAGGCAGTGGGCCAGGGGGAGAAAGCTTCAGCTGTGCCCAGCGGTGCTAAAGGGACAGATGAGCCCTGAACTGGATTCTGGACCCTTGTCTGTGGGCAGGAAGAACACACTGAGGTCCTAAATGGCTTTAATTTTTTGTGGTGCTGGGCATGGAACCTGGGGTGCTCTACTACTGAGCTTCATCGCCAGTCCTTTTTACTTTTTGTTTTGGGACAGGGTCTGCGTGGCTCAGGCTGGGCCTGAATTTGCACTCTTCTTGCCTTAGCTTCCTAACATAGCTGAGGCTACAGAAATGATGTATCAGTGCCTTTTGGATATAGACCCAGAAAACTTCAAGCATTGTACTCAAGGATGCTTAGGATGTGGTCTCAGCCGAGCGTGGAATCCCAGCATTTGGGAACCTGAGGCTGTAGGATCACCGTGAGTTTGAGGCCAGCCTGGGATGTATAGTGAGGTCAAGGCCAGCCTGAACCACTGAGCTAGTGCTTGTCTCTAATAAATACATACACAAATTTATTTACTCATTTTTAAGAAAGGATTTGGTCCGATGGTGATCCATGAGTCTTATTCGTTTGTTTTGTAGCTGTTTGCTATACACATACTACATGCTGGATGCTGCTCCCAGGCCTCTGGCACTTAGCAGTGAACCAAGTGATAACTGGTCCTGGTGGGCTGGACCTCCAATAGGCCTCCACCCTGGCAGAAATGGTCTCCTTCTTTATACAAAAGGGGTTAGAACAAAGGGAACTGAAAAAACAAAACAAAACAAAACAAAAAACAGGAGGATGAGGAAGCAGCTATGTTAAGGCAGGAAGACCCAGGAGCCTCTTGGGTTCCAGGCTCAGCATTTCTCCAGCTGTGTAGTCCTGAGCCCTTGACATCTCTGAGCCTCAGTTTCCTGATCTGTGAAACGAAACTAATATCAGGGCCATTAGGAGGATTGCTCAGATAAAGCACATAATTTGTGGTCCAACTGGGGCATTAAGAAGGGGTCAGCAAGCAGAAGCCAAAGGTCAGCTTCCTCCAAACTCTCCTCTCATCCTCCAAGGCTCAGGCTGTCCTAATCTTGCGAGTCAAAACTGAGGTAGCCTGGGTCTGAGAGAGTGAGGGGTGGGAGGAAGCCAGTGTCAAGGCTCTGGGGAGGAATCGGTCCAGGTCCTGGGGCCTGGCTCTACAACCACGCATGGAATTCACAGGGCATCCCAGGGAGCAGCAGCTTGCCTGGGCGATCCTGGTGGAAGGAGGAGCCTTTCAAGCCCAAATCAAGTTTGCCTGAAAAAAATCAGATGGGACTAAAAGAGATGGGAGGGAAGGAGAACTCATTGTTCCCAAGGGGAAAAGAGAAACTACACTGGGACTGAGGACTGGGATAAGGAAGGTTTGGAATCTAAGCCAGGGGAGGAATCTTCAGAAGCTCTCCATGTAGAGGGCTGCTCTTGCATGGGCTGCTGTCCCTCCTTTGGGGCAGTGACCACCATAACTTTCTGCCAAGTCCAGGTATGAGTTAAATGCACCAGATAGCACTGCTGCACAGGTGAGAGGCAACCCAGGGAACAGAAACCTCCCCGCCAGTCCCATGTGTGTATTAGTGCAGCTCATGGGTACGACAGCCGTAGAAGGCAGCCACAACTACCTCCATCTTACAGACAGGAAGTTGAAGCTTGTGTGGGGTAAGTGACTTTTAAGGTCTCTCTCCATTTAAGAGTGAGAAGTGGAATGTGAGTCCATACCTAGCAGGCTCCAAGCTTTGACCCTATCCCTGCCTGCAGCTTGCTGCCTCTGATGACAGCCCTTGGTCCTAGGACTCAGCTTATCACCAGCATGAGCCCAGACTTTGCACACCTGCCTGCCTGAGACCCATCACTAGGAAATGCCACCCGTAAGAGTCAGGGATGCCAGAAGCATTAGTTCTCTTTCAGTTTTGGTGTGACCTGGTCCTTACATTTCACCCCTTTCCCTGGAGGATGCTTCTGGGCTGCCCTCTCCCTCCCAGGTTCTGGCTGGGCATCTAGCCCATCCACCAGGTACTCCTGAGCAAGGCAGAGCTGAAAGGCTTCCAGGCCACAGGAACAGCCGGTCTGTTTCCAGTTGCTGCCAGTGCCCTGCTGGACACTCTGGCCAGTCAGTCCTAACATTTATGCCTGCCGGTATAGTGGCTGAGATGGGTTTGTCTAGCTTTGGAGTGCAGTGCATTTCTGATTATCAGCTGTGCATCCAGGGTCACAGAAAGGCACAGATCTACTAGCTTCCTTCTCTCCCCAGTCCTAGAAGCCTTTGGGCCAGCTGCTTTGTGGCAGCACAGCCAGTGGCCAGGGCTGCTGCCGCCTGTCCCCAGGAAGAGAGGAGAAGACATTTACTACACATACCAGGCTCGATTCTCTCCGAGGTGGAGGTCTTGTCCTTAGGTTCGGGGAGCCTAAAATAGATAGGACTTCATAAATCCCAGTGTGATAATGAGCAGTGGGACCTGCACCTGCGTCCTGAGGTGGCACCCACCACGTGGATAAAGAACTTGATGCCCTAACTCATGGTAGGCAAGGGAAACACAGGCCTTTACAGATTCCTTGACTGTGTTTTAGGGGATCCATGAAGCCCGTGTTATGTGCACAATGTGGTAGAGACATTATGGGTGCTGTTCAAGGTACAGCTACACAGGTTTATCTGATCAGAAAAGTTAGGAGCACAGAGCATGTCTATTTCATGCTTAATCCTAAGTCCCCAGGAACCAGCACAAAGCCCAGCAAGTGAGGTGATTGTTGAATGAAGATTTCCCAAGTGGCTGCCTAAAAGGGTTCAGGCAAGACAGCCAACTTAACAAGTTCAAGGCTAAACTCAAAAAAGAACATTCTTCCAGACTGTAAGAATGGCAGGACACACCCAGAGCAGCAATCCAAAACACAGTTTAACACCAACCAAAGGCACTGTTGGTTCAGAGGCGGAAGGTGCCAGAGAGTCCAGATCTGAGGTTCCTGGAGAAAGCCCAGGTGTATCTGTCCCTAATTCCTGGTCTCTTGGGCTCTAAAAACTGGTGGGAAGTGAGAGGAAGAGAGGCCAGAGCCCGAAAGGTGCTCTTCCACAGCCTTGCTCCACCGTTGCTTAGGACCCCCCACTTAATAACGAGGAGAGCTTATGTTCTGTGGTAGAAATCAGCTACATGCCATCGTGGGCATTTAAGGCCCCCCGAGACAGAAAGAAGTTACTTCTTGCTCTGGGCACATGTTCCTTCATCAGGTGGCCACCCCAGCTCTCGATAGGGAAGATAGACCCTGGCAGCCTGGCCACCCTGCAGTCCACCTTCAGCAGCTGCAGGGACCAAGCCATCACAAGCCCTGGGTTGCTCTGGCTTTCCTCATACCCATGCCCACCCCATAGGAACACCCAGGGGCCATCCAAGGGTCTTACTAATCTGGGCCCTCTGTGGGGCAATCCTGGCCACAGCTGGGGAGCCCTGGGCCAGCCTGGAGATAGTCCTTTCTGGAACACCCAAGGCATTGCCACTGGAGGCATTGCAGAGAATGGGCAGGCTGATCTCCTTCTTAGCAATGGGGGTCTCAGAGGCCTCGCCCTCAGCGGGCAGTGTCTCCTTGTCCCCAGATGCCTTCTTATTCAACAGGTTGCTGATCTCCATGATGTTGCCGATGATTTCCACTGGGCCTGTGAGATTCTTCTTCCGGGTTGGCAGGTCATCCTTGGCTTTCTTTAGGTAGGATGCTGGCGCCCAGCCCTCTTTGCCCAGGTATCTGTGGGGAGGGGTGGGTCACACCAACATTAGAAGTCTGATGCTTGACTATTCTCTACTCCTAGGCCCTGGTCTCCATCTGGCCTCATCCAGAGAAGCCTTCTCTACCATGTGTTGTCAGAGACTTGGCACTTAGTCGAGGGGAATTCTAGAGAGAAGAAATGAGATGGCATGAGTGTGGTGTGGCAGTGATGGGGAACATTTAAGAGTTTTTCAACGATAGCGAACACTTGGCTTTGGCACGCATGCCACATGTTTGCCACCACTGCCCTGCAGGAAAGAGAAGTGTTAAGAGAGGAGAGAACTGTCACAGGTGAAAGTTTCAATCTAAGGTCCTTGGACAAGTTCCTTTGCTGGAGCTCAGTTTTCTTCTTTTCTGCAAGATTAAGGATGGAGTAACTACAGAGGGGTCCAGAAGGGCAGACAGATGGACAGCAACCAGAAGATGGGCACAAAACAGCCTGACAGACGAGGGTGTTGGTGTCACTGCAGAAGATAGATTACTTGTACAGAGTTTGGTCCACAGAGAAGCTAGAGGGAACCTTTGAAGCTGGTAGGGAAAAACAAGATTATTCAGTAGGTGATCTGAGGACAACTGATTATCCGGTTAGGAGAAACAAGTACAGGAGACCTGGCCTCACACCATAGAGTAAAATTTTAACTTAAGGCGTCATGAATGTTTACCTAATCTTGGGAGTTGAGAAAGCTGTTCTAAGTGGGACTTAAAAGCAGAAGCCATAAATGACAAGATAAAAGCGCAGAGGAGGTGAAATGAAAACCACTGGTATGTATGGCAAAACAAAAACAAAACAAAATGGAACAAGACTAACGGCTCCTAAACAACAGCAAAAGGCAAAATGGTAGGGCTGGTTTAACTTGGGGGGATATGATGACTGCTTAAAACAAGCTCCCGCCCCAACTGCCCCCATGGGGTGGGGCTTTCATGCAAATGTACTGGAGCTCACTTCCTGACCCAGCAGTGGGTGGCCCATGTCCCCAAGTCTGGCTTGTAATGTCCCCAACTGCTCTCTGGGACACATCTGGGTCTTTGGAATGACTACTCCAGGCCAGATGTCTGACGACTTCCCCTCGCCCCAAAGTGACCTAGTTCTCTGGAAGCTTGTTAGGTTAGAACAGAACACAAAGCTGAAGTTTCTATCACCATGCCTGGGTTTTGTGGGAAGCTTGAGTAAGAGGTAAGTCGTGACAGCCATGTCCCAGGGATGTGGGATCAGGCCCAGGAGGCAAACATGAGTGAACAAAGGAATGGAAGCTGGGATTACGACTATAGGGAGACTTTGTCGTGGTCCTCTGGAGTTTGTATTTGTAATCCCAGGGGAAAGCTATTGGAATTCCAATAAATTAACTCCAATCCACCCCTTCCAGTGCAGCCCATGGTGAGAATAAAGACACTAAGGCATATTTGTAGTATGGAGGCTAAGGGGTCCTAGGTCCAGTCAGAACAATGGCTAATCAGAATGAAGGCCTTGGCCAGGGCAAACCAGGGTTTTATTAATTCACGAAGGGGAGAGTGGCTCAGGGGTGAGTGACTGAGAATGGCAGGAAGTACATGAGTGCTGTGAGCTGGGCTGGGCAGGAGGCCTGCTAGGACCTCTGTAATACACAGAGGCAGGGAGATGTGGGAAGAATAACCTGCATATTACAGGCTGAGTAAGTAGCTCGCGTTCAGGGGTTGGTGCTGCAGCTCTGATGTGCCATCTTCATGCCCCTGAGCTGTCACAGACATAGATTATTTTTTATCACTTAAAAATTTTTTTATTGGTGCCAGGGATCAAACTCACAATTGCCTGCTTGCAAGGTGCTTATGCCACTGAGCTAAATCCCCAGCCCTAGACATAGATTCTTTGTGGAGCCTCGGTCTCAGCTGATACAGTGGCATCACTAGGCCTAGTGCACACACTACTTGGGAGCTACAGGTGGGGCATCACTGACCTGTCATATTGTTTTAAAGACCACACATCAGCACCTCAATAGACCCATTAGCATTGATGAAAGCCAATTCTGAGGCGGTAAAGAAATATTTTGGCCAGCTCTGAACATATCAATACACGGGAGTAGGGCCAAATCTCTTCTCTCAAGGAGCACTGTTCAGGTATCCTCCACAGTGATAGCTCCTGAATGTACCAAGCATACACAGAGGCACAGAACTGCAGGGGTGGATGGAAGCAACTAGTGTGTAAAATTGGACACGGTGGTGCACACCTGTAATCCCTGCACTTGGGAGGGAAGCATGAGAATCATGATTTTGAGGCCAGCCTGGGTTACATGGCACTTTCAAGGGGAAAGAAAAAAAAAAAATGCCGCAGCAACTAGTATCTGACCTTCCTCTAGGCCAATAGCCAAGGTTGAGAAAAGCAAAGCAAGGACCAGAGGGTCCCACAGCTGGTGTGGCAGTGCCTGGCCCCGAGTGCAATGGCCTCGAATCCCAGAGAAAGATGAAGATAACTGCTCCAGCCTTTGCCAATGTCTTTCTGGGTGAACAGTGGGTAGTTCTGGGGAGAGGGCCTGTAGGCATGATGGGAGTGGCTGCTTATAGCCTCAAACGTTCTTATTTCACAGCCGTCTGTGTCCTTTCGTGTTACATGGACAGAGCTTAGCTGCAGGCAGAGAAGTGCAGGCAGCAGGCGTGATGGGGGTCTAGGTTTGATTCCTGTAGCTGCTGCCCAGACTTCAGAGGGAAACAGGCTGGGGGTGGGAGAGCCCTATGTGTGAGCGTGCAAGTGCGTGTGTGTAGGGCTGGGAAAAGAGAAGAAAGACAGGAAATGAAGATCAACCAAAGGCCCAGAATGTTCCGAAGTGGCACAGTTAAAGGGTATCTGGCAGCCTCCTTAAGGTGGAACTGTTTCAGCAGAGCTTCCTCAGTTTACACTCCTGCTGGCTAGAAGATTAGGCTGTGGGGAAAGAATTGACTGGAAGCAGCTCTGACTGCTTTTGCTGATCATTTTAGAAAACTAAAAATCAAAGCAAAATAAAATAGCGATCAGTCTTATGAATGACTGCCAAGTGGATGAAGTCACCAGCCTGCCAGGACGCTGCCGGCCTCTGTCTCTTGGAGTAAGGCTGCTGGACTTTTGATTTGGTCCTAATTTCTACTGCTTAGAGACCATAACAGCCCAGGGCAGTGGCTCTGGGTAACGTACGTGCAGGTCCGCAGTCCAAGTGTGCAGAAGGGGACACCTCCATTCTGACTGGTAGGAGGCAGGCCAGGGTGATATGGTGCTGTGTCCTGTCAGGTCCTCCTAAGGTCTGGCCTCCGAGTGTCCAAGGGCCTTCATCCTGTCCCTCAGCACAGACCTTTCACACCGTCATGTTTCACCACACTCAGAACAACTGTCCCACGAGTACCTCGGTCACTTTGGTCATGGAGGTGTCACAGCAGGAGCCTACCCTCTGAGACCACTCAGGACGCAGTCCTGTTCACAGAGGGTACAGCACTGCTTGCTGTGGCAGCCAAGGTAGGTGTCCCCAGGGCCCACCCACAGAGGCAGCAGGGTGAGATACCAGGAGAGAGGCCAGGTCGAGGCCCCACAGGGTAGCAGCCCTAGAGAAAGCAGGGGCATCTCCTGGAAGCAGGTGCACTGAAAGACAAGTCTCAGTCCAACCACAGGAAGTGAAGCCCGCAGGCTTTGGATACCACCCAAGGGTCAGGAAAGCCCCACACTGCGGTGTGGCTAGGCCCACCCTGTGAGCAGAGTGTGCCAGGGAAGTGTGGGACCATTGTACTCTGGGCTGGACTTGACTCAGGCCTCAAAATCAGCTCGGGAGGGTAAAAGCCACACCCACCAGGGACATGCATTCCAGAGCCCACACCTAGGCTCCTGAGTGCTGAGAGGTGGGCTGCAAAGGCCATCTACTGGGACCTCAGCAAGGCCTATAGATGCCACCACTCTGGGCCCCAAACTGTGCTGCAGGCCAGGCAGCCAAGGCTGGAGGCAGAACACCAAGGGTAGATTTTTGGAACTTTGGCAGATGCAGGAAGGGACTGCACTGCGGCCTGTGAGCAGAGCTGAGGCCCTATGCTGGGCTTTCGTTTCCCAGTCCAGAAAACCTAATGTGAAGTGAGCGCCCCCTGGCTGAGCTTCTCAGCCATGCAGAGCTGGGGCACAGCTGACATCAGCACTACCTGCCACCAGGCGCATGCCAGGGCTCTTCTTACCTGATGTACCACCAGCCCTCCAGGTTCTTCCGGATCACCTCCACAGTGACGCCCTTCTCAAAGCCAATCTCATCCTTGCTCTGGCTGGTGTAGGGCTGCACAGTGATGTACTTCTCTTCTGAGGGCGGTGGTGGGAAGCAAGAAAGCAAAAATTACTTGAGGTTGAGGTGGAGACCCTGCTGCTCCTGTCCTCGTTGGCTTTGCTCAGCTGCTTGCTAAGGTGCCCTAGGTCAATCTGTGTCTCCAGAGAAGGAACAGGCCTCAGGGTTGGCAAGGGAGAGATCATGAGATCAACCCCGCCAGGACCCCAGGTTGCGTGGCAAAGCTCTGGAGAGCATGAAGTTAGCTCTCCCAGCCAGGCTACCAGGGTCTAGCACCCAGGTGGGGCTGGTTCGAGCCAGTCTGAGATCTGTCCTAGGTACCGCCTGGAGGTCTCGGGCTCCCCCATACCCTCTTCTGAATGTGGCTGGGCTTCACTCTGTCCCTCATGCACTCTCCTGGCTCTGCTCCTACTTTAACCCCTCAAATTCCTTCTTGGTCTGACTTCCCCTTAGCTCTAGGGGAGCCTCCCTGTCCCTATAGTAACACATTATTTCTTCAAGTGGGTTACACAAAAGCCTAGTTCAGCAGGAGTGGTGAAGATGAAATTCCCATGGCCAAAGCCGTGTGTGGAACTGTCACACTGACCCCCCTCTCCAGGCAGGTGGATGTCACCAGGTAGTCAGGCATCCAGGCACCTGTTCCCTGTATCTCCTAGAGTTGTGTATACTCAGACATCTGCCCCTGGTGCCGGGTCTCCTGCAGATCTGCCTGTGCTACTCTCCTGGGTATGGCTTTGTTTTAAACACTGGGGAATGAACCCAGGGTCTCAGGCATGCTAGGCAAATGCCCTCAGTAACTGCACCCTGATCTTTTTTGAGACAGGATTTTACTACACTGTGACTTTAGGATCCTGTTGGAAGTCTTCCCAAGGCACAGGGAAAAGGGCGCCTCAGGAAGAGCTCAGGAAGGGGTCAGGTGTGCGAAGCTGGGCTACTTGGCACCTCTTTGGCTTCCTTCAACTCCTTCTAGTGCCTCTACTCAGGCTGCTATGTCTACTGGGGTCCCCTTCTGTCCTGGGGACAGCCCACACCTGGCCAGTGAAGGACATTCTGCCTATTGGGTGACTCTGCTCAGAGGGCAGCTCCGGGTCCACTCACCCTTTTGGGAGAACAAGAAAAAAGCAGGGATAGAGAAGAAAGAATTGCCAATCCAGGAATGCCCTTGGGAGGGTCACTGGGAACCTTGCTGTCCTCCTAGGAGGCTGAGACAGTGCAGGGGTGAGAGGAGCAGAGGCCAAGGATGGCATCAGAAAGAGGAAGGCGGGACTGGGAGGGGCAGGGTGAGGTGCTGGGGCTGGAAGCTCCTTGAGAGCACAAAGTAGGAGGCTTGCTCTCAGCAGCCTGCTTCTCCCAACTCCCGGCCTGACAATCACCCCCAGGCTCCTCAGCAGGACCCAGTCTGCAGTCTGCTGCGGCTACGGTTATGGGGGTTCGTCTGTTCATTCTTCTCTGGATTGCTAAGGTACTGTCTTCAGCCCTGTTCTGGGCTGGGACAGTGGCTTGCTTTTGGAGGCAGCTGTCCTGCCAGACTTCAGGATAGAACAGAAGGGCCATCAGCCCCGCCCGAAATGCTGCCAAAAACCAAAAGGTAGGTGAGGGTGGTGGGGGCCCCAACTTCTCAGCATACTCCCCCACACAGCCAGCCTTTCTCAGCATGGCCCGGGGGTTCCTCCTAGGGCCTTTAGATTACACTGCAGTCCCGAGCAGGATAGCTGCCCAGCTGCCTGAGAACGCTGCCCAGCCAGATCCTGACTCGGGCTTGGAGACGCTCTGTGCTCCTCCCGGCCAGCACTCTGCTATCCTGCCTACTCCAGGTCTTGCTCCATTTTCCAGTGGGGCACAGTGAAGTCTGGCCCAGGCTGCAGCCAGAGGGGCAGCGCCAGGCCTGGGGAAGCCAGGCCTGTGGTCTACATTTTGCCTTTGTTCACTGCAGCTATTTTTAAAAGCCTGTGGTTCATGCAGGAAGCCATCGTTACACTTTTCCTAGGCAAGGTTGCTCTTGCGGAAGAAAACGACAGTCCTCCCTGGAGGAAGATCAGAGGGCCCTGCCTCCTGGCCCAGAATAGCGCCTGGACCATCCCGTGTGGGCACAGCCAGGCGTGCCCACAGGGAGGTCTCAGGGGGCATTCGGAGAACAGAGTCCCACCAGCATGGGATTCCAGCTTACTCTGACCTCTGGGGTGGCATGGGCAGAACCATGGATATTGGTTCTGGCCGGAAAAGCTGAATCACTCCTGCCGAAGTTCCTGGGGATCTGGGCCTTGGCGACCATATTCTCTGGAAGTTTCTGGGCACTGGTAAGTGTGCTGTCCGGCCTCACTCGCTGTGGGGGTTCCAAGGAAAGAGAATTGAGGGCCCTGGTCCTTAGCATGGCTGGGTAGTCAGGTCGCCTCTTTCCACTTTCTCTTTGGGCACTCAACTTTCTGCTCTGGTCAGCTTGCACGATAGAAGTGTGGACATGGCCACATGGGGCTCAGCTCTCCCAGGTCATGGGAGAGGTGAGGGATGAGCAGGGACAGACCCTCCACTGGACAAGGGCCACAGTCCCTATGGGGTTTGGGGAGGTCTGGATGCAGCATGCCCAGGGTGCAGGGGCCTCCATGGCAGCTGAATGGCCCAGGTGGGCCTGGGTCTTGGGGCACACGGTGAGAGAAGGAAGCTGTGCGCTCAGGGCTCTCGGGGCCTCTGGGAAGCCCTGGTGTCTGCCTGGGGAGGACCGGCCAGGGCTGTGGGCAGGCGGCCTAGCCTGGTCTCCAAACCACAGCACTTCCTCTTTCCAAACACTTTCCCCTCTGTCAGCAGTCTCTCTGTTCCTTCCCTGGCTTCCATAACTCACCCTCCCCCAGAGAAGAGAGACAGACAGAGAGATAGACACACACAGACCATATGACAAAGGCCGAGGTGGCTGGGGCACCGGCACTGGGGTGGAGGCTCCGGAAAGCACTGCCATCTCCTGTCAGGTCAGTTGGTGACCCGCTGCCTACTGCCCCAGCTCTGTGTCAGCAGTGTGGTGCTTCAGCCAGCTCTTCGCATGCTGTCCCTAGCTGCCCGACTTCACGTGGCCTCTAGGGCCAATGCTGGGAAATCATGCTCCTGGGTCTCTTACTCAACAGAGAGAAAGGAGTGGACATCCTGGGCTTGGATGTCCTCTTGTCTGGGTGACTGCAGAGCTGTGCATGGAGGTGGGGCTATGTCTGGGAAAACACTGCCTGTGTGTATGGGGCACGCGGGACAGTGTGTGTGGACTTGTGAGTGTTGCTGCGGAAGTCTACACACTGTGTGTCTGTGCTTGAGGCAGTGGTTGAAAATGGGCTCAGCAGGTAGGACAGGACAAACCTGAGTCTCTCCTGTGCAAATCCAGGCCTCCTCCTTCCCAGCCTGGCCCTGCCTCCCAACAGCACTGCTCTTCCCTTCTGGCTTTAGGATGGCCTTTGCTTTACATTTGGCCTGCTGCCCTTCATAGTTGGCCCTCTGCCCTGCAGGACAAGCTGGGCTTCTCCTGGCCAGAACTGAGCCTGTGGCCACCCAGGAGTTCTAGTTTCTGCTGCCGCAGGCCTGAAATGTGTTCTCACTGTCATCTGGAAACAAACGGGGGTGAGCAGCATCTCTGTGTTCCAGGAAGGCCGGACCCTCGTGGGGTTGTCAAGCTGGTTCCAACTGTGTTCTCACCACAAGGAGCTCTCGTGGGACAGGGGAAACTGGTCACCCACTGGTCCACGACAGGGGTGCCGCAGATGTTTCCAGGGGCATCTCGCAGCCTCCTGTCTCTCACCCTGCAAGTTCCTGGATGTTGGGAAGCTCTAGGCCAGCAAGACCTCTGCTCCAGCATTGGCCTGCGGCCTCCCTGGAATCCTCTCAGTTCAGCCCTTCTGTAAGTTCTGAAGGCCAGCGCTGTAGCAGGGCCTGAGCCCTTATCAATGCAGGTTGGGACTATGTTCCAGTGCCAGGCTGGGGCTGGCCTCCAGGTTTTATCTGGCTGGGGCTGCCCTTCCTGGTCTGAGTGCAGCTGGCTGAGGGAGGACAGTGTGGGTGGTTCCTTCTTTTTACTCAATTCTCAAGCAGCTGCCAGGATGGAGTAGGATGCTGACAGAGACAGAGGTTTTGTAGTGATCTGTAGTGTCCAGAGCAAAGGTGACCTACCTTAGAGACCACAAGGTTGCCCTGCTTCCCTGTCCTCAGGACCATCTTCCTTTCTGGTGGACCCGCAATTGTGTCCTAAGGCCCAAGACCTCTACTCCCAGGACATTAGTGAGCTAGAGCCGCCCTGGTGCCACCCCAAGTCCCAAGCAAGGCCCCTGCCCCAGGCCCAGTGGCAGCAGGTGATAGGAAAGCCTGGCTGTGAGCCTTGGTGAGTCTGGAGGCCCCAGGCAGAGCGGGCAGAGAGCAGAGGGAGCTGTTAGTAGGAGATGGGCAGCAGTGGTGGGGCAAGAAGCAGGTGGCCACGGTCACCTCGGCTGTGCTGCCTGTTGACCATTCCGCCCAGGGTCCATCGGCGATCCAGGCGCCGCTGATAGGCCTTGCGTCTCTTGGACACTGGCGTGGGAGGTGGTTGATGGTGCACGCAGCCGACATGAACCGGCGGAGAAAATGGAGATGAGGATGAGATGGGGGCGAATGGAGGAAGGGGGAGATGGGAAGGGAACTGTCCACTGCCCAGCAGCCAGTCCGGCTGAGTGGCACATCCAGTGGGATGGGCACAGGTGATCAGCATGTGGGAAAAATTCAAACTTCAGCTTACAGCCCACATCTAGAAGGGAGCTAAAGAGTTCAGGATGTCAGTACCTTAGGAACAGGAAGGGTCCTCACGGCAGCCCTAACCCTGGCTGTAGCCACAGCCCTGCAGGGTGGAAGGGTCACTACTTCCCCAGGTCCGGGATGATGCCCATCTGCAGAAGTGCCTGGAGCCCCAGGCAGCCAGGCTGGCATCCACTCGCTCACTCATGCGTGTGAATTCGCCACCATGGGCCAGGCATCACACGGGCAAGAACGCATGTGTCCAGGAGAACCCCGGGCCCCTCCTCACTGGCCCACAGCTTTGCTTTCCCACCTGTCCCCACTCGGGAATGCCACCTGTGGGGGATCAGGACTTTGCCTGCTGTCTCTGTATCCCCAGTGCGTGGCACTGGCCAAGGGCAGGGCTGCTGGGTGAAATATACACAGGCGGATGGCACAGCCACCCTGCGTTCCTGCCTGCCGTCTCCGACAGCAGAGGCCATGCTGTCAGCTGCTCGGTTCCTGAGACCCCCTTGCTTTGACTGTGCTCCCTAGGCAGGCCCTGCACTGGTCCACTGGTTGCCACAAGCCCCTGAGGGCCCCTGTGCCTAGGTGCTAGCATGGGATGACCTGTTGTCCTCCAGGATTCTCAGGGAGAAAGGACACTGAACTCTGAGGTGCCAGCTGGTCCCACCTCTGGGCACCATAGAAGGAGGCTGCCCAGCTGTCCCAGCCTGGAAGAGGGAGAGGCTGGTGGTTAGAACGAAAAGTGAAACTGTCCAGGCAAACTTGGACCAACCCCACAAAGCCTTCTGGGAAGTCTGCTCTCTCAGAGAGGATGGTGGCCTGTGTGACCTGTCCATTCTGAGAGGCGACCTGGACAACAGGCCAGGAGGTGTAATACTAGACCAGCCCACTGCCAGAACACCCTGAGAAGCCTGTGACCTCATCTGTCATAGAGTGACACTTCTTTCCCTGGTATGGGCCAACACAAGGGGCTGAAAGGATCTGGGGACACTGATTAGGGTGAGGCCTCCTAGGTGAGGCTGGGTGATGCGGGGAGCAGGGGGAGGGTAACTCCCCTCATGGTAACCCTCCTAGTAACTGACCTTTACCCCCTACCTACCTGGTTTAGTGTGAACCATTTACAAACATCTCACCCGAGCTTCCTGGAAGGCCTTTGTGACTGCCCTAGTCCCATCACACAGATGGGGAAACAGAGGCCTGGGGTGCCAAGAAACCCTCTGAATCACATCAACCAGGAGGCTGTAGGTGTGGAGAACAGAGGACACAGCACAGTGGCCTGTGCCTTGGCTCTGGGAGGCCCACCCTGAGCCCTCCTGTAGATCTGCACAGGAGAAACCTAGGAAGAGGCAGTGGAATCACAAGCGGCCACAGAAGCTGGCACACAGGCCCTGTCAGAATCCCTGGAAGAGGAGTCCCTGGAGGATGTGTACATGTGCGTGTGTACACTTTCCGAGCAGAGGACTCTGCGCTGGCTCTGCCTGATTTGTACAATATTGAGGTCAAGGTCCTCCACACCTTGCTGCCGCCCATATGTCTTAGCTTCAGGGCCACAGCCTGCGCCATCTGCGTGACCCCTCTGCCCTGTCCTGCCCTTCCTGGTGCAGCCTTTGCAGCCACACGTTCTCCTAGAGTGAGTCCTCATGTGACCCCTCTTGCTGATGAGCCGGTGCTTTGGAAGGTGTGGAGGCCCAGGGCCCAAGCTGGATAGAACAGGCACTGCCTGTTTGGAAGCCTCAGGCCCTGCAGCTAGAAATGCAGGGACTAAAACTGTCCTCCCAGGGGGCCAAGAGGGGATCTAGAGCCCTGATCCAGCACCTCTGAACGTGAACTCAGATAGATGAGACTCTAGGACTGCAGGGAAACTAGAGCAGGCCAGCTCAGGGCCACAGCTATCCACTGTGGCAGGGGTGTGGTGGGAACAGGGTGGGGCTCAGGGAAGACACTGGGAGCCCTTCCAGTGAAGCCCAGTCCTGGGAGACCTATAACAGGTAACTTGCACTGCAGAGGCCTGGCTTGGATCAGGGCTGAAACAAAACGCTGACCCAGGAGGATAGGCAGGGCCGAGGCCCCAGCCAGAGAGCCAGCATACAAGGAGCTGCTTATTTTGGACTGGGCAGCAAGAGAGGGACAGAGGAGCAGCCTGGAGGAGGTCTGAGCTCTGGTGGCAGGCCTCCATCCTGCCATCCATCCCTCAGACGCACCCACCTGAACCGTCCCTGCTGGCCATTAGGGGACGAGTCCCTGCTGCCAGGCCCTAGGAGGTTCAAAGGCCTTAGGAGCATGTAGCTGGGAACCCGCATGGCTCAGCCTCCTGGGCACAGGCAGCCTTGCTGGGGTAGGGTCTACAGACTGCACTAGCCTGGGGAGAAGGACCCAGGAGCACCTCACAGAGCCGGGGCTACATGAGGGCTGAGAACTGGGTAGGGCCTGGGCCAATCTCAGTCTCTGAGCCCTGCCTCAGTGGGTCCCTGAGAGGAGCCCAAGACTTCCAGGGAGGAGTGTTCCAGGAGTCCAGGCCTAACACTGTGTTCTCCACCCTGTCTCCCAGGTGCCAAAGTCAATGGTCCACACCGCAAGAGAATTTCCTTGGTTGTTAGCCCCATGTTGGAGCCAGCAACGGTAGGCGTGAGGAGTTGGTGGGCCAGCCTCAGTGAGGTAGGGTCCCAAAGGAAGGGGTGACCCAGCTCACCCTGGAGGGTCAGGTGTTTTTGAAGAAGAAGAGTGGGAGCACTGCCTCAGGAAGGGGTGGAGCCCACCCCAGCTTTCCTACCCCACTCCTACTCTGAAGGCCCTTACCTTCCCCGGCCTTGGGGGTGTTGATGTCTGAGTCATCCCGAGTGCCGTTCTGGGCCTCCAGGTAGGTGGCAGGGACCCAGCCCTGCTCCTCAGAGGTGCTCACGAACCACCAGCCTGCAGAGGGGACAAAAGAAGACAGGCCCTAAGAGAGTGCAGGATGCTGGAGGACAAGGAGACAAGCGGGGCCCAGGGACAGGGTATGGTGCCAGGTTGCATGGATGCCTGGCACATACCCAGCTCACGCACGGCCAGCCTTGGGAGCCTGCGTCCAGCCTCGGGCAGGAAAGGCCAACACATGCCCAAGAAGAGGGCCTCACCAGCTGCCCTTCGTTCTGACACGTTCCATGAAAAAAGAAGTGGGAACAATGGTACATCCTACAAGTGAAAAGCCACACCTTGTGCAGGCCACCCAGGGCCTGTCAGCCTGCCAGGTTCCCTGGTGTGGCCGCTGTGGCTCTCCCAGGTGCCCAGACCCAGGTCAGCATAGTCCTCCTCAGCTGATCCTGGCTGCCCCTGAAGGGTGGTGCCATTTCCATGACAGTATGTGGACACTGACTCTGGGGGCAGACACCTGCCCTCAATCAACTTTTGGGTGGCTCATATTCCTAGGAACTGACAAGGTCAGAATGCACATTAAGCACCCTTTGGGATTAGCACTATCATGGCTTAATTTGGGCCAAGGTCAGGCTAGAGGAGGTGGTCCTGGGCCCCTAGGAGCTCCCACTGACCTCTGCCTGTGCTCAAGAGCTTTGACATTCAGACTGACAGAAGAGGCCATTCCTGACGCTGCCAGCCACTGGGCAGAAGGCCACAGGACCACTGCTCACTGATGTCAAAGGAGGTCTCGCTGCCCCTCTCTCTTTAACCAAGAGGACCCTGAGTGCCACAAATCGCTCAAGGGGTACTAAGGCTCTGTCTGTGATGGTATGGGTGGCAGTTTCTCTGCCATTCTCTGTGGAGATGGCTAGCAAAAGCAGAAGCCAAGGCTGCCTAGGAAAGGAAGAGCAATGAAGGGTGGCAGGGAGCATTGTGGCTGCTCCTACGCACTTGGCTTGGGGTGCCCCCCCCCACTCTGCCCCCGGCTGGAATTAGGCCAGGGAAATACTATGCAAGCTGTGTGGGTCACCTTCATCCCTTCCTGTGACCCACAGCCTTTGCATCCTCTGACCCTGTCACACCTGGGGCCATGGAGAGGGCGGATGAGCTCCCTGCCATCTTCCCTGAAGCCCAGGTCCTGTGCCTTGGTTGCTGGAGCCCCCAAGGCAGCCAGAGGGCAATGGACTTTGCAAGGGAATCTACTTGGGTGCCTCCTCCCTCAGCCTCTGGAGGAGCATTCCCAGGAACTCTAGCAGTCTCTGCCAGGAGGTACAATCCCAGCTGTTCCTTCAGACTCATGGCACAAAATGCCCCAACTCACTGGACTTGCACCACAGGCCCCAGCTTCCTTGAACACGAAGTGGGCACACCTAGCCAACATCTCCTGCTGGACCTGTCACTTTGGATGCTGCAGTGCCCTGGGGACAGGTGTGTGACTCAAGCATGGCCATTCAAGGGTTTTTCCAGGAACCAAAGCAAGTGCTTTGATGACCTGAGCTCTCAGTCCCATGAGGCAGGAGTTATGGGAGGTGGGTGGAGACACAGCCTGGGAGTTAAGAGAACCAAGCTGGTGGGGAAGACATGGGGTGGGTGAAAGAGTTTTGGCCCAGACAGGACACTGTAGCTGGTGAAGCCTTAGAGGCGGAACCAAGGAGCTCCTATCTCCCCCACCCCTAGGAATTTACCTGTGACTCCATCTTCCCCGCCCTCTAGGAATTTACCTATGGCGCCAAATCAAGACCAATGGGCTACCCGTGCATCTTTGATGCCCCTTTAGGTTCCACCCCAAACCGAGGCTACTTACATAACCGCCACGCCACGTGTCCGCCAGAGAGAAAGCCGGACTCCAGCGGTCAGGGGGTTTTGGTTTTCTCTCTCCATGTTCTCAGAATAAAGGCCTCTTTTGTTTTATACTTCTCATCTTTTGGATATAATCTTATCAGTGGGGAGGGAGCTGGTCCTGACAGACCTCTTCAGAGCCCCTAGTCCTACTGTGGCAAAGCCAGAGGACCTCGCTGGACTGCTTGGTTGCAATGAGCCACAGAGCTTCTGCTACTGTTTAGCTGAACAGGAGCTAGGATGTAATCATTCCAAGTCAGAGTCTTCCTCTATCAGCCCTAACCAACACTCATCAAACATGGTGACTGAAGCCCCCACCTGAGACAAGTGTGGAGCACAAACGTCAACAAAGTACTTGCTATCACACCTTAGCAGCTGTGCACCGAGTTCCCTAAGTCCTTCTGGAGTCAATTGCCAAATCTTGCTCATCAGGAAAACCCCTTAAGCTCAAAGATCCCTTGTCATAGTTCCCAACCTGAGATGACTTTCATGAGGTGCTTGAGAGCTGGACCACTCAGAGAATTTCTCAGAGCCAGGTTTGTTCTAAAGACAGCTTAGCAGTGGCTCCTTCATCCCCAGCTTTTTTTTTTCTTGAGACAGGGACTTGCTATGTAGTTCAGGCTTGAGCTCATTATGCAGCCTCGAACTTGCTAGGATCCTCCTGCCTCTAGCACTAGTTTCCCAAGTGCTAGATTTACAGAAGTGCAACACTACGCCTGGCATTCAACTGCAGATTCTCTCCAAAGTTACCTCCTAAGGTGCATGCCCTGGAGCCAAGCCAAGATCTGTTAGGTCATGGAAGTGCCCAGAAGGCCTGGCCTCAGAGGGGAGTCTTTCTTCCTGGAAGCAGGTTTTTCCAGGGTAGGTCTGGGCTGAGGCCAGGGGTTTCATCATCATTGGATACAGTTAGATGTGCTTTGATGAACAGCACGGTTTGGAAGCATAGGTCTTGTTGAGTATTGGCTAAGATCCCTTCACAAAGAGCTTCTTTTTCTACACCAAGCAAATGTCCAACACCAGCCTCCCTATCCCTGTTTGTCTACTCTGGGAGACCGCGTCCTCCCTGGTCTTGTGTGAGCCCAAGGCTGGGTGGCTATCTTTATGTGGACTTGGGCTCCAAAGTCAGCCCCAGTAGAAGCTAGGCAGGCAAGCTCTCTCTGTGGGCAAGAAAGGCTTTTAGGGAGGCCAGGGAGGAGGTTACTTTTGTATGAGACTCAAACCCTGCTTCCCTGGGAAATTTTCTCCACCTGTCTTACTCAGACTTGTGTGTCTTAACTGCTATGAGAGAAGTCCTCCAGTCTGCTGTCCTCTTGCTGTCACTCTTTCCCTTCTGCATTGATCTTTCTTCCTGTATAGAAGGCCTTAGGATCCCAGGGTTTGGGTGCCTCTCCCCTTCTCTTGTGGGAACCCTTCCATGCATAGCTAGTCCCTACTTCTCAGCAGCCAGATGCAGAGTGGAGGATGAATCTGTACTGGTGGACAGCAGGCACTTCTGGGCAGGGCAGGCCTGGCCCTTCCTCTGATTCTACCTCTTTTTTTTTTTTTTTGTCTTTTTCCTTTTTTATCGGTACCAGGGATCGAACTCACTTTTGCCTGCTTGCAAGGCAGGTGCTTATGCCGCTGAGCTAAATCCCCAGCCCCTTGATTCTACCTCTTCTGAGCAAACACCCGCTCAGGGTGAGCAAGGACAGAGGTGCACCAAAGACAAATCAGCACCATGCTCACCTAGCACCGTCTCCTTGCTCCCTAGATGGGGGGAGGGGCTGTCTGAGTCCTTTCTGCTTCAAAATCCACGGTGCCATGGCTTCCAAGGCACCTGGCTGCATGCCTTGCTGATGGGACATTCCTCTCACTGGGACAACAGCTTAGGTGCCGATCCTCTGGTGTGGCCCTGCGAGTGTCACTATCTCATGGTCTGGTGGGCCCTCCCAACCCTGTTGGGGAGCACAAGTTGGGGCTTCTGCTCTAGCCCAAACACTTGCAGAGCTGAGCTACACAGCCACCAGTCTCAGGTTCCTCTTGGTGCCAGAGAACCTGGATGTGGAAAAGCGTGTCATCAGTGTGGCTGTGGGCGAGTGGGCATGCACATGCAGAAGGGCTTCCTGGAAAGGCTCCCTGGGGCTGGGGTTTAGCTCAGTGGTACAGCACCTGCTTGGCAAACGTGAGGTCATGAGTTTGATTTAGATTTCCTGGGCCTGCTCTCCACAGCTACCGACAAGGCTCACCCCGATGCCAATGGCTCAGGTGTCAACTGCTGCCACCTGGGCTCCTGGCCAAAGTCACTGCTCTCCTGGAAGAGCACACACAATCTTAAGTCCTGAGTGTGGCTGGCTAAGAGGACACAGGCTCCAGGTTTCCAGGCTCCTCTCCAATGCACGCACCTGCTCCAGAGTCTGATGTGCATGGGTGTGCTGGATTTGGGGGTGGGCTGGCGTATGTGTCTGAGTATGGTGGAGTGAGCTGTGAGTGTGCACAAGTCTGTGTGTGGATGGGCACATGCACACATGAGGATGAAGCTAGTCCTGTGTGTGCATGTAACACATACAGGACACCAAGAAGTGTAGCATCTCAGTCTCTCAGCTTGACATATATTACTTTATTCATTCTTCAAGGATCTTGTGAAATAATGTCATTACCATCCCTCCCACTTCACAGATGAAAAAGCCTGGCTCTCCATCCCGGCCAGGCTGGCCTAGATCCCTCTCAGCCACTGCCAGAGCAGCGTGGTGCATGTCTGCTGCAAGCACAAGTGTAAAGGTGACTCCGTGGGAATGCATGTGCTGGAATCCTGGTAGCTCACACATGTTCCTGTCTGAGAGGAGATGCCGATGCCTCTGAGCATGTGTACGTGCGTGCGTGCTTCGAGCAGAGGTGCTGCTGCTCTGAGTGTCTTTGAGTGTCCATGGGTACCAGGAGCCAAAGATCTCTGTCTGAGCATCTTGTGGTGTGGCCTCAGGAAAGTGCCTTAACCTTTCTGAGCCTCAGTCTGCTTATCTATGAAATGGAAGCATATCATCTACCACGAAGGATGGTGTATGGATTGGATGGGATAAGGAATGACACGCAGGTCTGAATGGCAGCTGTGCACTTGACTGAAGGCAGAATCACAGCCACCTGGAAGCAGCTCAGTGACCTCATGCCTGTCCATGATCCAATCTGACCCTGCTAACCCGACTTCCCCTTCCATCCCTCAGGCCTCCTTTCCTGGGAGAGGAAATCCATGACCCTGGACTGAGGAAGTGACCATGCTTGTGTCTATGTGGGCAGCTGTTCTCTGGCAGACAGATACCTGGTATCCTTCTGAGAGCTTAGCTGGCTTCCAGGAGGAAAGGGAGCAGCCTAGGGGATGAGGCAGTGAAGCTGGTGGAAGCAGGACATGGTGGGGACCCCAAAGGGTGCTGGCTGGCTGGGATGATCTTTAAAAAGCACATGCCCCTAGCCCAGGCTGGCAACTCTGCCTGTGTGGCCTGCCAGGCCCTTGCTTGGGCAGGCCTTTCCCCTGAGGTGTGCATCCTGGATCCAGGCCCTTGGCTGGGAAACTGTCCATCCAAAGAGCTTGGGCAAAGGATATCTGACTTGCAGGCGGGGTCTGTCTCCAGGCTGAGCACAGGATGGTGAGGTCACTTGGGTGAAACAAACTGGCCAATGCCCTGTAAGCTGTGTCATGCTCACCTCTCCCTCTACCTGGCCAATGCTTCTGCAGGGTGAGAGGCCAGGACCCAACCCTTCCCAGGAGGCCAATGCCCAGAGGGAGTGGTGATGTCCCCTGTCATTTGCAGCTGGCTTTGCTTGATGGGTCTCAGGGACCACTTCACAAGGGCCTGGGGCCACAGAAAGAAGGGCTCATCAGGAGGGCTAAGCAGCTCAGGGCCAGGTAGGGAAGGGATACTGCACAGCCAGCCCCAGTCCACCCAGGAACCCGAGGCCCTCTCTTCATAGGCCCAGCCTCCCCCTCGGCTGGCTGATCCACATGCATGGTCACCTGCACAGACTCCAACTAGAGCCTCCCAAAGCTGGCATGAAGGGAGGTAACGGTGGGGACTCAGAGACCAAAGAAAATGAACACTAGAGAAAGAGAGATGGAGGGAGGAGCTGGGGGAGAGACAGTGAAGCGGCTGGGGGCCTTAGCCTTTCCAAGAGGGGCGGTCTGGCTGGGGGAGGCAGGAAGTGATGGGCACTCCCAGTCCATTGCTGTCCCCAGGGTGACTAGGCCACAATGGCCTCCTTAAGGAGGGAAAATAATGAGCTCATTAGGCCAGCAGGAGGCCAGCTGCACACAATTAGGATGTTAATAAAGTCCTCCAAGGTCACTGCTCAGTATAAGATAAAGCATGCAGCAGGGGAGGGGAGACCCCTGCTTTTTCCTCTTCCTCTGAAATCCTCCCAGTCTTTCCAGATGTAAGATGTGTCCTCCGGAGGCCCCAGTCCTCTCCTCCCTCCTGGCCCTGCTCACCAGGGGCTGGGCCCACGGGTGCTTGTTAGCCCTTTTATAGGCTGGACCTAGAATTAGATCCCAGCCTCCCCACTTCCCAGCTGGGGGCAAGTCACAGCCCTGAGACTCACTGGCTACCCACCCCTTCAGGCTGCCCAAATCAGGGACACACAGTACAGTCAACAGCTGGGAGCTTTGTGTGCTGCAGGGATTCACTGAGCACCTGGAATGCCCCAGGTGCTGTGCAGACAGGAAGCACCACCACTGTGGACAGCACATGTCAAGCCTCAGCTCTGTCCCCGCACCCCAAGGAGGGCACACCGCACTGGCTGCTGAGGCCCCAGCAGAGGCAGTGCCTCATGCCTGGCCTGCAGGCTCTCAGTGCAAATCCAGAGGGCACGGAGACAGCATGAGACTCATTGGAGCCTGGGAGACCCAGCACCTTCTGGTGCTCCCCAGGGCTTGCTCAGTCCCTCTGTGGTGACCTGACACCAATCTCTTCTAGTTGGCCGCTAACTCCATAGGGAGGATGAGTTAGGGAGCCATCTAGGGTCTTCATGCTTTGGGTTCTGGGGGTCTGGAAGTCCTTCCTCCCAAAACCCAAACCAGCACTCTGGCCTGTGGCCCACAATGCCTCCATTC